TGTTGAAGGTAATTCTTATTTTTTTTTTCAGGAAGGTACAAGGCACTAGTCAACATCAGTTGAATCACCCTGTAGGAATATCCAAACTAGGTCCTCTGCACCTGGAGCCACCTGTATCACTCCACAGCTAACCTGGGTCTCAGCTTCTACTAGGTCTTTTTTTTAATTGTTTCTGAGACATGGTCTCATGAAGCCCAGGCTGGCCTCAAACTTGATATGTTGATGAGGATGACCTTGAACTCCTGATTCTTCTTTGCCTACCTCTTGAGTTCTGGGATTATATAGACACATGACACCACACTTTGTTTGTGATGCTGGGGATCAAACCCAGGGCTTTGTGTACTCCCAGCTCAAACTTCTGTATCTTTCTTCCTGCCCATTATTATGTCATTATGTACACACACACACACACACACACACACACACACACACACACACACACACACACACACACACAAACGCACGCACGTGCGCGTTCTAGATGGCCACATCTCCAAAATGGAGCACATCCCCTACCAAAGCCCAGTCAAGGAGTTAATAGTTTTGTGTGTGTGTGTGTGTGGTGTGTGTGTTTAGAGTCTTTTAAGGCTTAGAGTGATTACTTACTAGTGAATCTGTAGTAAACCCACCTTCCACTGTCTTAAAGAGTTAATTGGGTCTTATTAAAATGTGTTGCTAGTTCGTCTGAAGCCCAGGGAGTGGGCATGTTTGAAATAACCCTTGCCTCTACTTTCCTGCAGTACAAGTCAATGAACACTTAACAGGAAGTCTTCATAGACAAAGTTGGGGATCCAAGGAGAAACAGCAGGGATGAGAAAGGTCAGAGCGCTGAAGCAAGGTTCTGGGTTTTGCAGAGGCAGTAACCCACTGGCTCTAAGGTGAAAAACTGTGGTGCAGGATGTTCTTTTAGTCTTCCGACCTTGATTCTTCTACCTCTATCCCACTCATCCACTAAATAAAGAGAGAAAGGTTGAAACTGGGAATTTTTCCTTCTTAATCTTTTTCTAGAAAATTTGTGACATGCACGGTTTAAATATTGCTGGTGGGGGGTGGGGTGGGAAAACATACAGAAGAAGGCCAAGGGCCTTCTGGAAGGAAGCACACTGCCAGTATCAAACCTTCTCCCTGAGATTCAGAAATTTAGCCTGTTGCTGTACTCTTGGGTGACAGAGCACAAGTGCCGGGGGTGGGAATAGCTCTAAGGATCCTGCAGTGCCATCCCCATGGCGATGAGGGGCTGCAGCTGGAGCTTTGAGTCGGGAGCAGTGTTCCTAGTCTGAAGTGTGGGGCACCAATTATCTTGTCCCAGTACAGCTCGCCTGAGGACGAGCTCAGCCTGGTGAAGTAGCCGTGTGGCTAGACCCAAAGAACCTTAGCCACTGGATTTGTTCTTACATCCCATGGCTTCTTAATATTTATCTGCACTTTGGTACCCTTAATGGGGCTAGGTGGCTTATCAGCTATCCCACTGTTCCTCTGGCGGTGTGATCTGGTACACAACTAGATCATAGGATGTTCCAAAACTCCTCCAAGAAGAGTTCCGATTCCCTTAAAGAGAAGCAAGAATATTTGGTCTTGGAATGGTAAAACTCCCAAGGGATTCTTAGCATATAAAACAATACTGAGAGGGAACAGATGGACTTGTAGGACACCAAATTCCAACACCCCAGTTGTGCCCTAATATGAGGCAAGGAAAAATCAATATAGATTGTATTTGTTATATTCTCAATTGCTCTTGTCTCTGGGTTTGGTATATACCTTCAGGTTTTCCTTCTCTGCTCTTGCCTGTCTGTCTTTCCCACTATATTCTAAGCTGGTCTGGGACTCACTATGTAACCAAGGCTGGCTTTGAGCCCGTGGCAATTGTTCGACCTCTGCTTCCCACGTGTTGGGGTTATAGCTATGAGCCACCAGGTCTGGCTTATTATTATCATTTGAAGTATAAGAGTTTTTGCTCCTTTTATTGTGGTAGGAAACACTGATAAATTTTACCATCTTCAGGGTCTGGAAACATGGCTCAGCAGTTAAGAGCACTTAGCGCTCTTGCAGATGACTTCGGTTCCGTTCCAAGTACCCACATTGGGTGCTCACTACCACTTATAGCTCTAGTTCCAGGGGATCTGATGTTCTCTTTTGGTCCCCATGGATATCTGCATACATGTGGTACACATAAATTCATGTAGGCACACAAACATATATATTAAATAAGTAAATGATTCTTTAAAAAGTGCCATCTTAGTGATTTGTAAGTGTTCCAGACTGCTAAAATATTTACATTATTGTGAAACAGAGCTTTAGAGCTTTTTCAGCTTGCAAAATTGAAATTCTATATCAATTAAACAACCCCATCCCCAGCCTCTGAAATGACCATTTTACTCTTTGTCTCTATGAATTTGACTGCTTTAGATATTCCATGTAAGAGGAACCATATGGTATTTGCCTTTTTCTGGATGGCTTATTTTACTTAGCACAATGTCCTTAAGGTTAATCCACATTCTGCTATGCGATGGGATTTCTCTCCTTTTTAAGGCTAAATAATATTACATTGTATGTTTATATCATATAACATTTATCCACTGGTTCATTGGTGGATATTTGTGTTGCTTTAACTTTTTAACTATTGTAAATAATACTGCCTTGAACATGGATGTATAAACATTTCTTTGAGACCCTACTTTCAGTTCTTCTGCATATATCCAGAAATGAGATTGTTAGATAATATGGGAGTTGTATTTTTGCTTTTTGGGGAAGCCTACATGCTATTTTCCATGGTGTCGGCAGTCAATAGTGCACAAAGGACCCAATTTTTCCACATAATCGACATTCTTTTCTGGGTTTTGCATTGTTGTTTGTTGATAAAGGCCACCCCAGTGGGAAAGGGGGTATGCTGCTGTGCTTTTGGTTTTTATTTCTCTGATCATGAACATCTTGTCACATACCTGCTGGACCTTTACTTATCATCTGTAGAAAAATGCTTAAGTCCTTTTCCCACATTTTAGTTGGGTTATTTGCTATTTTGTTATTGAGTTGTAAGAGTTCTTAATCATGTTTACCATATTAACCCCTTCTCAGATGTATGATTTGCAGATACACCCATTCTTTACATTGCCTTTTCATTATGTTTATCTTTCCTTTACAATTTAAAAATATGATGCCCCAGCCAGGTAGTGGTGGCACGCCTTTAATCCCAGCACTCGGGAGGCAGAGGCAGGCAGATCTCTGTGAGTTCGAGGCCAGCCTAGTCTACAATGAGTTCCAGGACAGACAGGGCTACACAGAGAAACCCTGTCTCAAAAAACAAACAACAAAGGAAGATGCCCCTTCATTTATTTTGGTGTTATTGCCTGTATTCTTGGTATCATAGAATGAAGCCTGTCCACTCTTTTCTAGGAGTTTTACAGGCTGGGGGGCCTTTTTGAGTTCTTTTTGCTTTAGTTTCATATATTTTATTTTTAACGGTATGTGAGGAGTTTTTGGTGTTATTTTAGCCCCCAATTCACCATCAGTGCTTCCATTGCAGCAGCTAGAGATGGGAGGAGGCACTGAATGAGCCACATGCAAGGAGGAGGGGCTTTTCAACTGAAGCACTCTCAGGCCTCATGGAGGCTCTAAGAGACTTTCCCATGGGTAGTTGTGAGGGTGAAATGAAGGAAGATGTAGAACACGCTGTGCACAGGGCTAGTGTATTGGGAGTCCTCAGTGCCTGATGGCTCTTGTTTCCTACAAGATGCTAAGAAGGAGCAGCCTCTTGGCTAGTCCTAAATATTGTGCTCATTCTTAATGACATAAAATAATTTTCCAACTTTCTTCCTTTGCATGTGGACGCCTAACTTCCCAGCACTGTTTATTGATGAGCATATCCTTTGCCAGTTGTTTGTCTTGACATTCTTTCCAGAGGTCATTGGACTGTATATGTATGGGTTTATTTCTAGGCTCTCTGTTTTATTTGTCCATATGTCTATCTGTATGCTAGTACCATTGTCTGGATTGTAGCTGTGTAATGTTTTGAAATCACAAAGGGGGAAATCATACAAATTTGTTATTTCAAATTTGTCTTGGCTACCTGAGGTTCTCTGAGATTTCATACAAATTTTAGGATATTTTTCTATATCTGCAAAAGATGCCATTGGGGTTTTGTAAGGATTGCATTGGATTGAGCAACACTGACACTGTACAAGCATTAAATGTTTTAATCCACGACAGAAGAATAAGATGTCTTTCCATTCATGTATGTCTTCTTGAATTTCTTTCTTCAGTGACTTGTATTTTCTGTGTAAAAGCCTTTCATCTCTTTGATTGGGTTAATGCCCAAGTATTTTTTTCATACTTCCATTATAAATAGAATTGTTCTCTTAATTTTCTTTTCAGATATTTTATTGTTAGTGTGTATAAACTCAACAAAATTTGTATGTTTACTATTTGTAAGTTTACTACAAACTTGCTGAATTAATATTTTATAAGGGTTTTTGGTGTGTTACACTTAGAGTTGGGAGGCACAGATTTATTACAAGACAGCTTCAATAGAAGAGCAAGGCAATGCTGACTGGAATTAGAAGTCTCTTAGGAATGCTTGTAAAAGTAAGCCGAAACTTGATTAGGAGGGGATTTGTATAAATTCCAGGAACCCTGAAATTCGTGGTATTATCTCTTTTCCCCTTTAAATTAAAAAAGGAGGGGGATAATGTATAAAAGCTTTTATTCAGCTGGGCAGTGGTGGCGCATGCCTTTAATCCCAGCACTCGGGAGGCAGAGGCAGGTGGATCTCTGTGAGTTCGAGGCCAGCCTGGTCTACAGAGTGAGTTCCAGGACAGCCAGGACTGTTTTTTTTTTTTTTTACCAAGAAACCCTGTCTTGAAAAACCAAAAAAAAAAAAAAAAAAAAAAGCTTTCATTGTTTATTACATAATGGAAGTGGGCAGACCTTGTCAGTCAATTTTGTTGTACTACTCATCATGAGACATTTTTGTTTTCAGTGACATTTCTATGCCTTTCCCCTTCTAGGAGGACTTCTGATGGCCATGCTAGTAGAGGATGTGATATACCACGTCAGGATTTCTGATTGCAGTGAGTGTCAAGAGACGATGGCACAAGACTAGAAAGGGGCCAACTTTAAGGTTCCTCTCATAGCCCAATGTCAGACAGCTAATGAACTTCTGAAACACACGGTAGAAGAAACGGCTGGACATGGCTTTGCAAAATAGCACTGCCTACCAGGACTCCTCTATTTCAGCCAATTTCTTGCCTCTGTATACTCTCTAGCTTGGAGACTGCTGGCATTTTCGGAGGTAAGTGTACGTGTGGAAGAACCAGTGGCATTCTTATTTTTCTACAAATTGAGTTAAACTTTAAAAAAATATGCTGAGATTGATTCTTGCTCAGTCTTTTGGGAATTGTGGCAACATTATTGGATTACTTTAAGATGTATCCTCTTCTGAATCCATTAGAGTTGCTTAAGTTTTTGTTGTGGTTTGAATGCACAATGTGTCCCTGTAGGCCCCTGTGTTTGAAAAGGTGGTCCCCAGCTGACAGCTGTTTGGGAATAATATGGGACCTTTAGGATGTGGAGCCTTGCTGAAGGAAGTTAGTCTGTGGCGGTAGAGACATCCATAGCTAACACAGAGTTCCTGTCTTGGGCAATCCTTGCTCTGGTGTTCCTGGGGATCTGCCTGTAACTTTGATGGAGAAGCATCACAGTTTGAAGCTTGCCTCGTCCTGCTTTTCATACCCATGCCCACATTTCCTTTGACAGATGTCAGAGCTGCATGGTGGTCTGAAAGTTCTCTCCTCATCGTTCAGCTTCTTCTCCTTTTTTCCTTTGATTTTACAGTCACAGAATTTCACAACCACTGAGACCTGAGAGGTTTTATTATTTTAGTAATTTTGACTTTCTTTAGGTTTTAGAGCACATAGTGAAAGCCAGACTCCACACTTGACAGGCTGCATTCTAGCCAAGCCAAGCTGTCATTGCCGAGAGGAAGAGTCAAGGCCTCATAGAATGGGATGACTGAGTCGATGGCTTTCAACTTCCAGCTCAGTGTGGAGGAGTGTGGGAGAGAAGGGATGCTCCAGTGGACCAAGGTGAGTAGAAGGAGAAAGGGATTGTTGGATGACATGTAGAACATTGCTGAGCTCTCTTTGCTAATCTGTCACTGGGAGGATGAGGTTTACATTGTCTCCCCTACCTCACTAACTTGGGAACCCTGGGAAAATGGCATGGCCTCCATGACATCAGTAGGCCTTGTTTCTAAAATCCCCAGGGAAATGGGTATGAGTCTAACAGCAAATGCACAGAGTGTCCTGTGTGTCTGCATATGTGGATTCAACCAAGTGGGTTGAAATAAGTTTTTAAAAATATGCCTTCAGTGAACACATACAGTCCCTTTTCTTGTCCTCATGCTCTATAAGACAGCACATTATTCACATAGCATTTATAATTGTTTTAGGTGTTCTAAGTCATCTAAAGATTTAAAATATACAAGAGGATGTATATAGGTTCAATGGAAATTCTATGCCACCTCATTTAGTCTAATTATTTTCATTACGCTTATTTATGTGTGTGTATGTACTTGCACGCCAAGGAACAGCTTGTGGAGGTCAGTTCTCTCCTTTCACTAAGTGGGTTTTGGGATTGAAGCAGGTCCCCTTACCTGCTGAGCCTTCTCACCATTTTATATGAGGTACTTGAGAAACCTCAGATGTTGGTACCCCAGGGGGTGCTGGATTCAGTCTCCTGCAGGTATTGAAGGCCAGCTGTATTCAGTGTCCCTTTAAGGGCTTCTTGTGAACTAGCTCAAGCAGATAGATACCTTCATTATCTCTGTTTTATAGCTGAGGAAACTAGGCCTAAGGACTTGAGATCCTTGCCGGAGGGGATACAAATCACGCCTCCTGTCTGAGCAGAGCCCTGGCCAACTCTGCAGCACTTGCTCTGAAAGCCTGCCTTGACAGAACGTTCTAGTGTGAATACGATATTAGTCCGTGATCCAACCTTGATACTTGAGTGGGAATTGAGTGCCCCATGTGCTCTATCGAGACCTCTAATTGCCCACTGAACTGCATTCTTTCTGGTCTTGGCCCAGTGTGGTGGAATGACACTCGGCCCTGTTTAACAGAGTGTGAGAATGAATGAGGTGACGATTGGTAAGTGTTTTGAGTCTGGTTAATAAAAGCTTTGTCTCATAAGCTTCCCCACGGGAAAGAATGACTTTTAATAGGAGCGAGAGACTGATGAGCACTCGGGAGCAAGAAGCGTTTTGTTTTTAGGCGGTGATCTCTTCAACTAAGAGCTATCATTTTGTTTAATGATTTCCAACCCGAATAAGCAGTTTAACAAGTGAGCCTCAAAATCAGTTAGTCAACCAAAAGGCAAACATTTTGTAACCAGGAGATAGGGGAGCTTTATAGCCTTTAAACAGTATAATCTTAGCACACCCCCTGCCATCTTCCCCCACTGGCAGCATAAACACATAGGTTTTAATCATTGTACTGCAATAGTTGCAACAGCCTGCTGAGAGGAAGCTTAAACCTAGTTTACTCCGGCGGGAGAAAGTAACCTTAGAACCATGTGGTGTGCTTACTTTATTTGTATGTTTTCAAACCTACCGCACAGGATTAAGAATGCAAACACTATAAATATGGCAGTCAATATACCTTCTGCTTAAAATGATATACTAAGGCCACTGGAGTACACAACATGGCCCTTAGAAGTCCAGTGAGGGGGCCCTGGTTCTCAACAGTGCCATGCTTTTGGTCTACTAACACCAAGTTGCCCCTCTGGGGGATATCCGTTGCTTTGGAGATTTTGATACTTTTCCTTACACACTTCTCCATAATTTTTCATGATTGTTCTTAACTTGGGCTTCTCCTAGCAAGCTATTAACTCCGTGTGGTAGATCTAGTACCTAATGCAGAGTCGACGTCCTAAATAATACTTGTGGATTTGTAATGGTTTGTGTGAACTGGGTGAGGATAGGAAAAAAATGAATGGGGTTTAAATAATTCTTTAACCTTTCAGGCCTCTGAAAGGACCAAGCAGATGCCATAACAGGCTGCTCAGTCTTCTCTCAGAGATCAGGCCTCAATTTCAGTTTCCTGAGACTGAGCAAGCAGTCTCTGGGAGGGCCATGACCAAAAGACATAGTTCTTGCAGTAGCTCCCTTTCTGCACGTACTCTGATTGCTCAAAGTTCAGCCAGATGTTTACTGTCTGGGACACCTCACCAACTTAGAGTTATGTGCATGAGTCAAGGACAGAGCCTAGAGCCAGCCCCCACAGTCAGTACGTGCTAGGCCATCCAGCTCCCATAACAGCTCAAGGACAGAGCCTGGACCACTGAGTCAGCCCCCACAGTCAGTACGTGCTAGGCCATCCAGCTCCCATGGCAGCTCAAGGACAGAGCCTGGATCACTGAGCCAGCCCCCACAGTCAGTACGTGCTAGGCCAGCCAGCTCCCATAACAGCTCAAGGACAGAGCCTGGACCACTGAGTCAGCCCCCACAGTCAGTACATGCTAGGCCAGCCAGCCCCCATGGCAGCTCAAGGACAGAGCCTGGGACTTGTTCCGGACAGCCCCCAAAATGATAATTGTAACCCCCAACCAGTAAATTCAAAGGTTACATACCCTCACCCAATTAAAAGAGAACAGAAATAAAAATAAACCAATCCGAGTTGCACCCATGCAAAATCCCGCCCCCCCCACCGCCCTGAAGGGCTTGCGGTTTTTGCCTTTAAAAAGCTAGCCTCACAAAGAAAGAGCAACTCCTCCCTGCCTCACTGTATTGGGTGTAGGAATGAGTTCCCTGTCTAGACTTGCATCTATAGAATAAACCTTGCTGTTGCATTCTGGACATCCACGATATTCAGTGGTCTCTTTGGGGTCATGATCTGGGCATAACAGCCTCTTCATAAAATTGCCCATTATCTAGTCGGATTTTGGTTTTATCTATCTATCTATCTATCTATCTATCTATCTATCTATCTATATCTATCTGTCTGTCTATCTATCTATCTATCGTGTGTGTCTGTCTGTGCACATGTGCATACTATGGTGACATATGGAGCTTAAAGGAATTTGTTTTCTTCTTTTGCCATGTGGGCCACAGGATTCCAACTCAGGTCTTCAGGCTTGGCAGCAGGTGCTCTTACCTGTGGAGCCATCTTGCCAGGCTAATTTTGACTTTTGATTTTAGAAATACATGCTGTGGGAGTCTGCACAGTCTGTAGAGAAAGTTCAAAACTTTTCTCCACACTGTACTCCTTGGCAAGAGGCCTTTGGTGTGACTGGGAAATCTTCAAAGTTTGTGTTCTCCAAACCATAGATCCATAGCTCAGTAACCTGGGATTTAGTTAGGAAGAGCCCAGTTCAAATCCTACTCCAACTTCATTTACCAGCCTTGTGATTTCAGTCGCTTGTGACAGCCTTGATAGCATGTCACTCTAACCTCTTGCTTAGGAATACTCCTGAGAGCTCATTTTGGTTGAGGATAGTTCAGATGTTGCTAGTCACACCCTGAGGTGCTCCCTTCTTAAACCATTTCCTTCCTTGTCTTCTTCACAGGGGTTATTGGCATTCAACATCGGATGGCATCACTATCTGCGGGCTTGCCCTGCATTCCCCTGCCCTCTCTAGAGACTCTGAGCCCTCCAAGGACCCCCTTCTATCCGTCCAGTCTTTGCTTCATGGAGGGCCTGATGAATTAGCATGGCTACCCACTTAACTTCTGTGTGACCCAGTATCCTCATCTGTAAAATGGGGCTATGATAATCTGTCTTGATTGCAGTGGAAATCAATGTAAATAACTTCAGAAAAAATGTCTGGCCCCTGTCACACATAAGCTGCCATTAATTTGCAGGTTTTTTTTGCCTCCACATTGCCTACTCTTGCCCCTTCCCACTGATACTGTCTCTTCTGAAATATTCTGTACCTGCTCTCTTCAAGCCCCAAGTTTGATGCCCCTCCCTCAATCTTGCCTATCATCCAGTGTTAATATACTGATGCCAGCAGAGTTTTGATGTAGGTCCTCTGAGAAATACCCCCGAAGCCATTCAAACAGTGGAAGAACTTAGCAAACAGGAAAGAGTGCTGCCTGTGGTACCCTCCTAGAGTAGCCCCCATCATTTTTTAGTTATCCCAGTAGCCCACAGTGGCAACCTGCTGAATAACATGCCTCATACTGGTTTTCTTTCCTGTTTCCTTTCACATCTCCCCTTATCTTCTAGGACCTCCTTGCCCAGCTCTCAAGCTACTTGTACTCAACTCTGCCTGATTAGGCTTGCCAGGCCACCCTGCTGAAGGCAGTCCTGCCCTTTGTTCCCATTCCTGATAGATGTCCCCGTGTCATTTTCATCCATATTTTGTTCAGACTTCCTTTCTCAAGGGGCCACTTCTAGGCTATTCTATTCCTAAATGATCTTACCCTTCACCAGGTCCCTAGCGCATGTCTAGCCTTTGTACAACCAACTAGATAAATTGAATTTCATTAAACTTGAAAACTTAGGGCTGGGGCATAGCTCAGTTGAAGAACACTTGCCCAGCATGCACAATACTCTGAGTTCAGTTTATAGTACTATACACAAAAAGTTTTTTTTAAGTCCTCCTTTAAAGAACCTTATCAAGAATATGAAGGATGTCATCCAGAGTTAGGAGAACATAATTACAAGTCATATAAGAGATTTATATCTAGCATATATAAAGAATTTTATAACAATAATAACAAGATGAATAACCCAACTAAAATGGATAATGGATCTACATAGGTTATTTCTAAAAAAATACAGAAATAGCCAATAAGACCATGAAAATATACTAACATCATTAGTCTCCAGGAAAATGCAAATCAAAACACAAGGACTTGAAGATAATAAGATTGTATTGTGTATTGAATTTGCCAAGATTTTTAAGTATTCTTAACACACGTACAGTAAATATGATGATGTGATGGATATGTTGATTTCATTGACTATACTAATTTCATTATGTATGCCCCTGTTAAAACATTATTGTAGGTCTGATGTAGTGACACACACCTTTAATCTTAGTTCTCAGGAGGCAGAGGCAGGCCTAGTCTACATAGTGTGCT